TGGTGATTTCATCATCACTTCCCAGTCCACAGGAAAAATCCCCTAGTGCCTCCATCGTGATCTAAACTGCAGAGAGCAGATGTTGACATTTTGTCATTGTGTGCAATAATGTCAGACGCGATCTTGCCTTTTCTTCACACTTTCTGTGAGTCAGGCAATATCAATCAATCACAGAAAATAAACACAATCCGTCTAAGAAAATAACTGCTTGACTGTGTTTCTCCCCCTTAACTTATCCTCAGGGGCCAAAACCTTTTACCTCTGTGACCATGCCTCTTCATCTCATGCCAGTGAATCCTGACAGTGCCTCATCCATCAGAAACAAGAAGCCATGAAGCATGCACAAACTTGATACTTATAGCGATCTAATCTCTTGTCTACTCTAAGCATTACACATGCTGGCTTACAAAAACATTTAAATCAGACAACTACAAACACAAGTGTATGTGGCACGACACAAAATCCCTTAATGAAATGCCAAATCTTTGACCCACAAAGTGTAAAACTGCTTCACGGCCTTTCTAAGGGTCTACCATAGAATCACCAACCCCATCAGAGGTAGAAAAGGAACATCTCGATCAGATTTAATTATATAACCCTAAAACACTTATGATGCATTTGCCGAAAAAGGCAAAGTATGAGTATTTTCCGCAAGTACAGGGGTTGTTACAAAAAAGAAGCCTGCCACGTGTTGTGGAAGAACATGTTGCTTTTTAATAGCAACTTAGACCTTTAAACTTAGAACCTAAGGTAAAAGCTGAATGACATACTTCCAGGTAACCAAAGAAGGCTGCTGTCAAAGCTCTTACTGATCCATTCCTCGCTCAAAAGTAGCGGTGGGCGATTGACCCAACCACCTCTCAGATTCCAGTCAACCTCAAGGCCATGGGAGTGCTGGCAATATGGTAGGATGCTGACAGGTTGATCAGTCACCACATGTGCAAGTTCTGCCCTTTCAATGCTGCCCTGGTGCCTTGTCATGTTTGAAAATGTCATTGACAGAAACTGGGAAAAATAGTATTTTAATGATGTGTCTGTTTTAGTTTTTTTTTCCTTAGACTTGGTGGAAAAAGAAATTAGAATAAATAAAACACATAAATGACGTGATGCAAACAGAAGCTAAAGAGTTTCACATTACCAAGAGCCTCCTTGGGTAGAATCCTAAACCACTCTCGTTTTCAAAATGTACTGAAGCACTGGGTTGCAACTCAGCATTGCTTCCTGTAGCCTCTGAAAAAGGATATTTTTTTGTTCTGTTCTGTTCCACACACACACACAAGTTGTATATCAGCTGGAATTTGTACTGTATTGCTACATCCAAGCTGCAAAGAGAAGGATGACAGCTTGTTGGTTTTGGGGCAAACGAGGGTCAGTCAAGTGAACCCTTTTGTTGCATTGTTTCTAGTGGCCCTGAATGACACGCCGGGAAATGCAGTTTCTCTCACAGGGAATCTCACTGCGTACATGGAGCGGTGGCCCAGTTTGTGACGGGATCAGGGCATTACTCGTAATCCACCAGATAGATGTCATATGCATGCACGCGCACACAAACACACTGAGAAACAAACATGGTTGGGAGAGAGAGAGAGCCAGAGACAAAGGGGGGAATAAAATAGGAATTTGAAAAAAAAACGTGCATTTAAACACGCAAAGCTCAGTGGGCTTGTATTACATTACATTACATTACATTTAGCTGACGCTTTTATCCAAAGCGACTTACAATAAGTGCGTTCCACCAACAAAATACAAACTTGAAGAAAACAGAATCATATAAGTACATCAGGTTTCATAGAGCAAAAACATTTCAAGTGCTACTCAACTGGCTTTAGATAAGCCAGCCCTTTATTAGTATATAAGTGCTTTGTTAATAGTTCTATCGCTCGAAGGGAAGTCGAAAGAGATGAGTTTTCAGTCTGCGCCGGAAGGTGTGTAAGCTTTCTGCTGTCCTGATGTCAATGGGGAGCTCATTCCACCATTTAGGAGCCAGGATAGCAAACCCACGTGTTTTTGCTGATGGAAACTTGGGTCCCCTTCGCAGCGAGGGTGCAGCGAGCCGTTTGGTTGATGCAGAGCGGAGTGCACGTGCTGGGGTGTACAGTTTAACCATGTCCTGTATTGTACAGTACTTGTGTGCAGAATGCACATATGGTGCAGTGCCATGCAAGGTTTCCAACGATGCACATGGGATACTGTTCCATCTGATTGCATCCTAATACCCTCAGTCTACTTATGTGTATATGTGTGTATTAGGGCTGCACGATATTGGAAAAAACTGACATTGCGATATTTTTTCCCCCTGCGATATATATTGCGATATGTACAAATACAGGAATTAAAGAAAAGGCAGTTTTTTTTGTCCACAAACCATCCTTTCTTGAACTTTAATGCTATACAATTGGTCTTTTTTTAACTATATTTAACCGGATGAAGGATTTTAGTCACGGGCGTCTGGATCTTAAGTTATCAGAACAACAAGCTGAGCTAGCTCGGTTAGCAGCGCCAAACTGCCCTGGAGAAACACATGAAACTACTTTATTCAGTGTTTTTACCTTTAATCACCGGGTCCGTTTGCTTTGGAGATTTGATTGTGATTGGTGGTTTGCTGTGCATGCAGAGCCTGCATGTCACTCACTCAAGTACCCCTGACATGAGAGTTTTCCTTTTGTAGCAAGCAGCAAAAGGGATCCTCGTGGATTCATCTTCTTATTACAGACACATGCATTTCCTAACATTCGGTCTACCTATGCTGTAAAATGTATTATCTCTTTGATTTACACACGGCATCTATTGCACGTCTGTCCGTCCTGGGAGAGGGATCCCTCCTCTGTTGCTCTCCCTGAGGTTTCTCCCATTTTTTCCTCTTAAACTGTGGGTTTTCTCTGGAAGTTTTTCCTTGTACGATGTGAGGGTCTAAGGACAGAGGGTGTCGTTTTTCTCATACTGATATTCTGAACAATCTGTGCTGTTGTATTTGCTGTAAAGTGTCTCTACTGTAGGCTATTTTTATTATATGTACAGCACTTTGGCTCGACCAAAACTCGTTTATAAATGTGCTATATAAATAAAACTTGATTTGATTTGAAAAGAATTGTAACATGACGTGTTTGAGTTAATTTGCCTACTTAACATCGCACGTCCTAAAAAAAATAATTAAAAAATCGCACTTCCTGCGATGTGAATATCGCGCATATCGCGATTATCGTCACGACACGATATATCGTGCAGCCCTAGTGTGTATGTTTGTAAGTTGTGTACACAAGCATGTGTGTTTATGGTTGAATACAAAATAATGCCTCTTTCCAGACATACAGTAGAGGAGGAAAATAAAATGATGCCTCTATTTTGTAAAAACCCTATAATGCTTGAAATGTATTCCATTTCTTTGGCACTGAGTTGGAGGAAAGATAAGCACACATAAAAGCAATTTTGCGAGTACATTTAACATTTCAATACATGTCAACGAGCAACAAAGATGTCTGGGTCCTGGAGCCTATGTTTGAACTCTTAACATTCAAGTGCTCTTAGTCCCAATGTTGTTATTAAAAGAGGCATTTTATGTCATACACACTGAGATAAAAGGAGAAAGGAACAGCCTTTCGTCCCTTTACCCCCCTAAAGCCCTCTGTCTCTCCTTTCTCACCAGATTATATGGATGTGCGGAGAAGACCCAGAGAGCGAGCAAGAAAAGAGCAATGAAAAAAGTCACAGCGAATGAGACGAGGGCACGGGAAAAAGAAAAATATAGACAGAGGAAACAAAGTGGGACTCATTTCCACCCTCTGTGAGTCTACGCTGCTCTCCTAACTGCTATTGTGAAAGTCTAGGAGCATCATCGTTTTGATGGATGACTGGGCCTTTACTGACCGACCCTGGAACTCACACAGGGGACAAGAGGGCAGGAGGCTGAAAGGAAAACAAGAGTGGTTTGTGGATGTGTGTGCTATAACTCGGGTTTGTGTGACAGTGCAGTTTTAAAACATTACAGGGCTGGAATGGCTGCCTGAAGCCTGTGCTAGCGTACATGTGTGTGTGTGTGTGTTACAGCGTGGCGATGATATATGTCCAGCATCATACCGTACAACCACAAGCCCAGAGCTATGCTGAATTTTCCTTCCAACCAACAGAATGTACCAAACATGCTGCAAATGTATCTGGTTGACATACATTGTTTTTACAATACTTGCCAAAGCAAATGTATACTTATCCAGCACACACTTTAAAAACAAATATGCAAATACAATTCTACTAGACACCACTGTTACCGAGGCCTCCAACAGGATTGCTCCCAGATGTTAACTGTCTGCATGGTGAGCTTGAATGACCTCCTCTTTCTCTTTTAATATTCTTTTTCAGATCGTCTCATGTTTTAGTTCCAAACTCCCCTTCTGTCTTCATTTCTTTTATCCTTAGTCTTACCCCAAATCAGGCAGTTTCATCACCGCTGCTGGGAGATTCAAAGCCGCATTTGTAAACCTGACAAATTGTCAGAGACGCCATGCCTGGCATAGACACAGGTAGACACCCATTTTAACTATGTTCACACACACACACACACACACACACACACACACACACACACACACACACACACACACACACACACACACACACACACACCACACACACACACACACACACACACACACACACACACACACACACACACACACACACACACACACACACACACACACACAATCTGATTTGCCATATGTGGACTGTCTATCCAAGTAATACTGGATGGACAAAAACAGCTGGCCTCATATCAAACCTGCAAACATACACACACTCACGCACTTACTTACACAGCGATATTATATCAGGAGTGGAGTGGTTTGTAGGAGAAAATCAGGTCATTGTACGACTCAGTGTGCCTGTGTACATGTGGATTCTAAAGGTATTGAATGCATATGTAACAGTTTTTATTTTTGTGTGTCTATATATGGGGGTAGGCATGTGAGAGAAAATAAGTGCATGGAACTGAGTGGGGAAAGACTCACAGTCGGCATCAGCGAGGAAGAGGAAGCTGAGGAGGAGCAGGCCTGGACTGGCCGAGTGCATCATGGGATATGTCGTCACATGCATGCTGTTTCCACCGTGAGCTCACTGTCTCACTGAACAACAAGACGATAGAAACAGGCCCTCACAACCTGGAGAGAGAAAGAAAGGAGGTTAAAAGAAATGCAGTCATTAAACACGTCCAAATTAGAGAGTTTCAGATATAATATAGTCCGTGCGCACACACATACACACACACAAACAGACACACACTTGAAGTGTGTGATTCCCTCTAGGCTTTACACTCCAGTTATGCAGCTGCCTCTCCTCTTCTCGCTTCATTAGGACCATACACTCATTGCCGGAGGTGTATTTTGGTGTGTGTGTGTAAAAAAGAGTTCACAAAGTGGCTGATGAATTTCAACTTATGGCAAACATTTAGCTTTAAAACATCAGTCAGCTTCTAAAGTTCACTTTTTATCTCCGAGCAAGCAACTGATTCATTTGTTTCCGGCTTTAGTTCGTGCCCTACACATCTCTGAAGCAGACTTCAATACAGGATTTCTATCAAATGTAGGTCAAAGCGGCATGATTTCATATTACTGAAAAGGAAAGAATGGCTTTAACATGGAGGGGTGGAGAAGATTGAACAAGGGATTGATGGCCGACGGAGAGATTAAAGTGGGAGGAGACTGATCTACTGGCTACGTTGCAAACAGTGTTGGGTCAACATACAGCTCAATGTCTCTATCGCTTCATCCTTACTTCCGTTCATTTTTGGACTCTATCGCTAGCTATTCTGTCCCGTCTCCATCCTCTTGTAACTTTTTGCTGTTTTTGGTTTACTAAATATTCACAATATTTCTTCCTTATGTCTCTCTTTCTAGCAGTCATATTCTTTGCATTTTCACTTTCTCTCTCGGTAACTCTTTCCGTCCAACTGTCTCTCTGCCATCTGCAGTGCCTGGTGTTAAGTCTGGCATTAGATGAGACAGGCGTCACTCTGTGTCTGAAATCTCACAGCTCAAATCACATGGCACAATGGGACATGGCAGAACACTGCTGCTGTCCAGAGACTGACAGCAATGAGTGAGAGACGGTGAAAATGAGCAGGGGCAAAGAGAGACGATGCTTACATGTGTAACGTGCGTCTTTGCATGAATGAATGTGGGGAGTGACACTGTATGTGCGTGCATATGGGCTAGCTCATGCATATGGTGATGCCTCTGTATGTGCATGCATGTGAATATTCCCGCTGACTGCCTGTGCTGCTCCAGCGTGAGTATCCATGTTGCAGCTGTGTGGTCCTGTGTTATGCATTCGTGCATGTGTTTGTGGGCTTTCCAAAACTGGACAGAGTCATCATCAGCAGCAGTCTTAATCCTCTCCACTCCTGAACAAGCCATCAGATTAAAAAAGGCAAGGGGGGGGACAAACTCTAACATCCCTGCAGCCAAGGCAGCAAACAACTAAACCCACACTGGATTTTCCACTTGGTTTGGTCTGAAACAATTGCTTTGGGATAACCTAGATCTCTCCCTGCACAAATGAAGTCCTGTGCACTGTGATTTGGGAACCCAGCCATGCAGTTTACTGTAGCTTGTGCACCCATCCAAAACACAGGGAAATTATAGTTTCATGTTTTATTTAGTTCTGGATATTAGACCTCAGTTATATTTAGATTTGAGGTTTCAAGGGGCAATCACCAACTTTAACTTACTTATTTTCTTTCTTATTTTATTATTATTTAAAAATCTTTTATATCAGAGTTTTACTTTAGTAGTATTTAACAAGTTTACTGGTCTTTTTAATCAATATATTTTCATTTTGTGTTACTTATTTACCCAGCCCCTTTACTATTGTACTGCACATTTTACTGTAGGCTAATAGTAATGCTGTTTCGATTGCATACAGGTACTATCAGTTCTCCAAGGGACCATTATTGTCATACTCGTCTAATAAGCCACATTTGTGCTGCAAAATATATATCCCTATTAAAGGTAGATTACTGTTTAAAATGGCATCTATCCTGGTTTGTTGGTGTGTGTGGGAATGTGTGTGTGGCCACTAATCACTATGCCTGTTTCAATGTCACTGGAAAAGCCTGCATTATTTAGTATCTCACTTCACAGCATGTCACATTAATTAAAAGGCTAAGATAACGGGGAGAGAAAGGGATGAGTTAAAGGTGTGGGGAGAAAGGAAGTAGAGTGGAAAATAGAGCAATTAAGCAGAAAAGAAAAAGACACCGGATGGAATGAAGAGAAAAATAAGTTAACCTGAAACACACACACCCAAATACACACAGACACAGCCAGGTAGTCACCAGATTGTTATCTAGGTGGCTGTTGTTGCTGGTATTACGGTGGGCCTAACAGAAAGCCTTCCTCGGAGCCTGAGTTTCTGCCACTGCTGTGGATCACTGTCGCTCTAAGCCATTCATTTACATTAGTCCCTATCACTCAATTATACACCGTCTGTCTGGCCGGGCCTGCAGCGATCAGTCACACTTATCTCTGAGATAGATTCTGACAGAACAAAGACAGACGCAAACAGTGACAGACTGGCTTATGTTTTTTCACATGACAGACAGAAGGACGCATGTCAATGGGGACGAAGATGAGGAAGGAGGAAGATGATGAAACAGAGGAAGAAATGAGAGGCAGAAAAGTTGGTAAGTGGGACTTAAAGAAATGTTTGGCACTAATAATGTCATAGTTATCCCCTTAAATATATTCATAATGCTTAAAACCGATGATTACATCATAAAGAGGCAACGTTAAAAGCAATATTTATTATAAATGGTCATTGCTTTAATGGGAGGTTTATCGGATTAACAGCTTATTTAGTTTTGAACCATAAAGAGGGTAATTTTATTTTTAACACATATACATTTGCTGGTAGTTATTACATTATCATTTCACACTGAGCGCAAGAGACAAACAAATGATCAGGACATGGAGCTGAAGTTTCTAGTTGGGGAAGACTTGAAAAAAGAAGTGTAAAAATAAAAGAATAAGATCCAAAAATGCAATGAAATAAAAAAGAGGAAGTGTGGGTGGTGATGAGAGAGAGTTGAGGGTAGACTACAAAGCGAAGGTGCAGTACAGCTCGAAGGGACGTTAAGAAGGATAGAGACAAAAACAAAAGACAGATCCTAAAAAGCATCGCTTAAGGCAAACCGTGTGCCATGAAAAAAAGAACAATGACTATCCTAATTTGATTTGATATTCCCAAAGCTGAGCCACCAAATGTAATTAGACATACTAATTAACTTATTCCATTTGGCCTGTTGAAACAGTGGCACACTGACAGAAATGTCAATGGAGAGACAATTTGTATTTGTTGCATCATAGCGCTACACGAATAAAACAAGATAAGCTGAATGGAAAAAGCACATGTTGCATCCTCCTTCTTTTCCACAGAGGATGGTGGTAAGCTTCAGTTGTAAAAGTTTCCTAAAACATTGATGCGTTTGGGCAGACTACATTGCCAAGGAAATAGATGTGTTTAATACAAGTCTATGAGATGCAGAGGCGGATTTAGGATTGTAGGAGATCCGGGGCTTAGCCCAGGAGTCGTTGGGTTGGGGGGGGTGCAGGGGTACAGTGCTATTTTTTATAAGTGGGGGGTGGACCGAACATCCTTTAGGGGGGTCGTCGCCTCCTCTCGGGGGGTCCGGGGGCATGCTCCCCCGGGAAGATTTTTTTTAAATATTGAAGTTGAAAGCATCAATCTGGTGCACTTTGAGAGCAACATTAACCCTACCTTAATAACACCTTAAAGCGGACAAAAGGCACTGGAGAACACTCATTAACACCCTTTAATGAAGCAAACTAATGCCTTAACTCACTCAAATAGTCGTTTACTTATTAAGGTGTAACGAATGTGCGTAGAGTTTTAAAGGATGCGGATAGTCTCACCTTGATTCTGGCGCATTGCTTATCGTTTTATAGATCTATTCTCATCCACCATCTTTGTTTGTGACGTAAAGAGTGTAAGAGTCACGTTTCTGAATCGGACACTCTGAGTGGATGCAGTCAAAGCCAATCGGAGTCTGATTCAGAGGGTTGCCTGTCAGTTCTGTTGTTATACGTACTGAAACGAGAGCCGGTATAATTCCACGCGTGAAAACAAAATAAAAATTGGAATACGTTATTTTAGTGTCTTAAAAGTAGACTGAGTTATGAAGGGTTAACGTTACATCTTAGGATAATTTTTAGTCATGTTCTGTATACATACTAACATATAAGGGTATACTTAGTGTGGTTACTCCATGTTTACTAGCTATAACATTAACGTTACATCACTCTTTTTCACTTCTTACTCAGTCAGCCAGAGTGCAGATATCACCATTAGATTAACAAACCTGAAACATCATCCATTTCTTGACTGCTGGTGATGACATTGTTGTCAGCTGCTGATACTGCTGCTGCTGCAGCTTGTGGCACCGGCTGCTTCAATGACCAACCACTGTATACACTGTATTCTCAATATTTGTGTGTGTTGACATGACATTTTCTTTGTTGAACCACTTCTTTTTTTTGTATGAAAGTGAATCAAATGCTGGCTTTATGTAGGTGAACAACTGAAATATTCATCAGCAGTATTTTCTACAGATACATGTCCATATCAAAATGCTACAACTTCCATTCATTAAAGAAAAAGCCTTTCAATGAACTCCCCCTCCCTCTGGAACTCCTTCCCCAGTCACATCCGAAAGACTCTTGCTTCCTTCAAAAAAGCCCTGAAAACGCACCAATTCACTCTGGCTTTTTATTTCTAATTATCAGGTTTTTTCACTCAGTCGAATAACAAACATTTTCCTACAAATTGGCAGCCTTAGAAGAATGCGATTCGACATGGATGTCAAGTCTGTTGGTGTGTAGGTGTGTTTGTTCTTTCAAATCGGCGGGGCGTGGCAATGAGAGTGCCCTATAACAAAACATATGCATAACTTTGAAACAGATTTATGTTCCAGGGTTCATGAGTTTCAACCAAATTCAAACTAATGAACTGATGACGAAAGGACTGACATGGCTTCTAGACTGAAGAAGGGCATACAATCTGGCAGCTAGTGCTGTTAGCAAGGACTTTCTCCACCTCAACTTGCTCGTCCTTTCTTTAAACTGTACTATATCCTTATTAGAGA